TGATTGGCTCTCCGGATGATGGTATGATACGCCTCAAGACACCCCTTCCTCACTCCTGCCCTGCACACGTATATAAACACGTAGTGCACGAGAAACGAAATCTTCCCTTGGGCGTTTTGCGAACGAAGGAAAAAAAGAGCAACGCCGAGGATGTGGCTGCTTTGGAGGGTTGAGAGGAGAGAGTTTTTCCTCGGGGTGGCCGGAGCTTTCTCTTTCCACTGCAGCAATCAACGTATTGGCCTTGCTTATTGCAGGACTTGGCAAAGGACTCTAGCTTCGTTTTTGGTCTTTCCCGTATGCACGTCCTTTCACCTTATTTTTTCCTTTTGGGTCGTCGTAAATGCTGTGATGGTTACTCTTGTTGCGTCTTAATTTAGTAACATCACGTTTCAACAACTAAAGCGAAAACTGACCAAAATTCTATTTTCCAAAGTTCACAAGTTTTGTGATTGATACTTTATCTTCAAATTTGATAACGTACCAGACTTAATATTATTCATATTGTAAACTATCTCAAACTACAATTGTTAAAGGATTAAAATTTAACTCTTTATTATGTTGCAAATATTTATAATGTACTCGAGTCGCTGCATAAAAAAATGATGACAATACAGAAAAAGAAAAAGTAACATCATCCCAAAAAAAAAAAAAAAAAGAGCCGTACTACCTTTCAAAATATTTATAGCCCACCGAGTAATTCGACGAAAGCCATGAAAGTATTATGCACAAGAGAGGCCAAAACCTTCCTTCTCGCATCGTACGCCTCAAAAACGATTCCATCGCACCCCCTCGGAGCGCTCCTTAATTTACATGTATGCGGCGTATTAAAAGCCCGTTGTACACATTGACTTTCAGCAGTTATCCGCAATCGTTTGCGCGACATCGAGGGCCACCCCCTCCCCCCTTTGAGCAACGCCCATTTTTGCGGCAAACGACCGGTCGTAAAGCCACGGGGAGGCTTCTTAATGCCTCGGCGAATTATTCGTACGCGCGTTGACACCTCAGCTGTACCCTACTTACACATCACGTACACGTGTAGCCTCCACCCCATATGTACCTGGTAGAGAAAACTCGCAAAGCTCTCGCCACGTCTTGCATGAGAACCGAAAGAAAGAGGGAAGAAAAAAATAAAATAACACAGAGCGCGAGAAAAGCTCCGCGCTCCCTTCGTTTTAGTCTCGGCCAATGGGAGCTCGGGACGCGCTCGTACGTTATACACCGCGAGCTCCACGCTGAATTTATCCGTCCCCTCGCACGCGAACGAGTTTTTCTTCTCCTCCTCCTCCTCCTCCCCTCGTCCATCCTCCCGCACCCCCATGTATCACGCGGCGAAGTTTTAGTTTCGCGTTTCCCGCGAGACGAGCCCACCGCACACCACCGGGGAAAAAGTACCGCAGAGCGAGGGGCGGCAGCCGAGTCGAAAGGGAACCTCGAGGGCGTAAGCCTCACCCCCCCCCCCACGCAGTAAGAAGGTAGCCGGAGCATTAAGGCTGGCGTGGCTGTCACATTTTCTACTTTGCGGAGACGTATGAGGACGGCTTAATTGGGAGAAAGAGAGCGCCCGCCCTTCTTTTATTTATAAGTTCGGGAGTCTATCGTCGCAGCCCACCCCCCTTTCGAGAGCGAACTAAAGAAGCAAGGGTGGCTGCCGACCCCATCCCCGAATTCTCGAGTTTTCTCTCGGTGTGTTGGAGAGCGCGCCGAGGGCAGAGCCGGAAGCTTTGACAAATAACCCCTTATAAACGCCGCGTCATGATAATCTTCTTGCTTATACGCTGCTGTTACTGCGCTCTAGCCTCTGGAATTAGTTTCTTGCGTTGGGCTTTCATTTTGTATGCATGTATATACATATATTAGATCTCGTGCCTCTCGCAGCGCTGTTACGTTGTAAATTTATCGCTGCTTTGGTGTCTTTGGTAAAATTAATTAAAACCATGAGAATCTCGGTAATTCATCACGGAGTACTTTATATTTTTACAATAAATTCTACTGAACTTTGAACTCTGCGGAGAAATAGGTCATCTTTTGAAAAAACTGTAAATTTTCCCCTCGAATCCGAACGCTTGAAAAAGATTTGTAAAAATCCGAAAACAAAAAAAAAAGAGGAAGTGGTAGCGATGAGTTAGATGCGTAGGGGTCCGAGGGAGGGGAGGGAGAGAGCCACACTTGATTGCGCGGCGATAATAAACATGACGGGCCGATATGAACTCTCCGGTGAAAATATTTCGCGCCACCGGGCGTACGCGTGTCCGGTCGCATCCCTCCGCGAGCTTTGCTGTACGGCATTCCACCCTCGCAATTTCGCGTGCCAATAACAGATCGCCGGTGCGGATACCATTGTAAATATGACGCGTTCATACTCGGGTGTACAGTACACACAACAAACCGACCCTCTCATGCCTGGTAATTCGTCTGCATTTTTTTTTCCAGCGCACAACAGGCCCCTCTTTAAATCACATTGCCAGGGGGCTGATGCAGGCGTTTGTAAACTCTTTGGTGTAACGTGTTGTTGCCACCTACTTCTCTATTTTTTTTTTTTTTTTTTTTTTACGACCAGCGTACCTCGAATATTTATGAACGAAAGGCCTAGAGAGTGTATATACACATAGGCGGGGTGACGTGAATTTTTATCGAGCACAGCTCGGCGATTTACATTTTCGTAATTTCCTCGTTAAATTACAAATCACGAGGTATATTAGCCGAGATAATGGGCCATTGCTTTTCGAGTTCTTCGCCGATTTCCGATTCGAGTCTCCGTTTCTGCGCTATCTCTCCTTCTCTCCTCGCTCGCCCCTTCTCAGCTGTATATATAGATATACGAAACGGCTCCCGTGCGCAATTAATTGCTTCGGAAGAGGTTCGCTTCCTTTACGAGCCAATTGATGTATCTGATTTAATAATGGTACATCGGGGGGTCGGGACAAACATTTGCGAGGGAAATTTATTTTTTAATTCATAGATAAACGAGTTTTTCAATGAATTTTATAAAAAAAAATCCTCGTTAAATTTTACGTGAAAAAAAGGAAAAAGGACAGCTGGTCGAGCAAATTGAAGACAATCGACGCGAGCAGAGGAGGTTGGGGGTGCGCGTTCCCCGGAATAGAGAGGTTTTTGTCGAAGGGCCAACGAAAAAGAAAAAAAAAAAAAAAAAAAAAAAAAAAAAAAAAAAAAAAAAAAAAAAAACGAAAGAAAAAAGTATATATATTCACAGCCCGGGGCATGCGACTCCCGTACACGTGCGTACATCCATTTCTCTCTTCGCGGGCCGGACCGGCGCGCCGATGCCAGAGGACGAGGGGGAGGAGTGCGCTTTACGAGGCAGTAACGGCCGATAAGGTGAGCTCGCTCGACTCAACTCGCTTCCCCTATACATCCGAGGTCGGTGGGGGCTTATTTCGCTACTGCACCCAAGTGGCTGTTCACCGAGCACTCCCGCGCGCACTCTTTTTCGCGCCCGCTCTTTCCTTCCATCTGTCCCGCTTTTACTTTTTTTTTTTTTTTTTTCTCGTTCGCTCCCTCGTGCCAAACGATACACGTAGAGCTGCCACGTAGCTTTATTTAAAACCATTTACAGCTAGCTCTACGCGGAGGTACGAGTGGTGCTCTACTAGTGGCAGCTCGAAAATTCCCCCTCACGAGTTGTATTACGTGCTATAGAGGGTGGAAAAGAGAGAGAGAGAGTGCCCCCGTGTACGGGCTAGCCGGCAAATGGACGAGCGTCCTGCCGGTGGAGATTTTGCGGCTCTGGCTATGGTCTGGCTATTGCTTCTCTGCTTCGCCTTTCGGCACTCTTTTACGAGTTCCGTAAGTACTGGTAAGCTGATTTTCAAAGTGCCAATCACGTCAGAAGGGCGAGTTTGGATCTTTTTTTTTTAGGTCTTGGGATTTAGGTACAAGAAAGCTGGAGTTTCTGTTGTTCTGGTACTTGTATGGGGGGTTGATGTTGATTGGCATTTTTTTTTTTTTTTTTTTTTTTTTTTTTTTTNGTGTAACGACTTTGTCGCGGTGGTTGCGTCAAATAATAGCGATAAGCTTCGACAAAAACCTCGAAAATACCGACATTCCTTTATTAAAGCTTATCTTATCAGTGTACAGTGCTGAAAAAAAAAGACCTTATTAGTGGTTTTTTTTTTTTTAATTTTGATGCACATACGCACACAAAATGATGTTTATTAGTACATTTTGTAGAGCTTTTTTTCTATCAAGTAAGATCAAAGCACTTATCACACACAAATAGAACGGGATTACGCTAGCTATGTAAGTTCTCACAGTTTATACTTTTATAAAAAGAGAAGGTTTTGTAATGTTTTTTCTCGTGTGTTTTGGTAGTGGTTTTTTTTTTTTAAATATACTAGACTGTTGTTACGATGTACACGAGTATTTGTCGAAATATTATCATGATCTGTCGCACGATCTCTACACGTGCGGATCATTGTATTGTATAGAAATAAAGATGGACGATATTAATTTTCATAAGCACCCAAGTAACGTTGTTTTTTTTTCTTTTTGTTGACCACGTCACGTTACGTTGCACTTGAATCATTGTACTTATATGCGTCATTTGTATTTTTATTGCACTCTCGCCCTTAAAATACACGCAGTAAGGAAGCAAAGTGAAGAAATGGATGATTGACGGGAGCTTAAGGAAGTTTTGCAAATGTCAAGGGCAAAAGAAGAAAAAAATTGTTTCCCAATCGCAATGCCATTGAACTTGAAAGTTAACTTTGCTGTTCTATACGTATCGACACATTATTCAAAAAAAAAAAAAAAAAAAAAAAAAAAGAAAAAAAAAGGGTTAGACAGGGGGGGGGGGGGGGGGGAAATAGTTTGAGAGCGAGTCCCTGGTGGAATCGAGTGCCTCGCGTACATTAAACTCCCGTTAATGAGATCGTGTCTCCTAATGGAGTTGGTTATCATTGGTGGGAGGAGTGCGAGCGGCCACTTCTGTGGTACAGGCCTTGGCATTAAATAAACGCCCCTGATGTCGTTGCGTGTTTCAGGAGCAAATGGTTTGCGCAGACGAGGCAGGCAGACGTACACGCGCTATCAGACCCTGGAGCTGGAAAAGGAATTCCACACGAATCACTACCTGACCAGGCGGAGGCGAATAGAGATGGCGCACGCCCTCTGCCTCACGGAGCGGCAGATAAAGATATGGTTCCAGAATCGGCGGATGAAGCTCAAAAAGGAGATACAGGCAATCAAGGAGCTGAACGAGCAGGAAAAACAGGCCCAGGCGCAAAAGGCCGCGGCTGCGGCTGCCGCGGCGGCGGCGCATCAACAGCAGGGGGGCCCCGATGGGGCCAACTAGGGGTACGCCCTACACCGGAGTCCCCCCGATCACACCACGGCCAATCCGCACCACCCTCTGCTGGCGGCCCAATGTACGCAGCTGTATTAAGGTTAGAGCTTTTTTTTTTTTTTTTTTTTTTTTTTTTCAAACACCTATAATATTACAGGTACAGCATGAACTTATTTTTTACATTAACCACAATAAGTTGGAGATTGAATATCTGGTACTAATGGTACGTTGGACACCCTCATAAAGGCGTTAGTGGACCACTTTGCCCAAGATGGCCGAGTGGAAAAAGATTCTCATTTTTTAAGTTGAAAAATGCACTGTTTTCATTCCTCGGGAAGGAAACTTTGAGCAATGAAAAATGAATTTTCCTTCAAACTGAATTTTAAGATTTCAATTTTGAGATACTATCTTTTTTCTTTTTTTTTTCACCAAAAATTGAGAATCTACCCTTCCCTACATAGAACTACCCTTGTAAGCTTTACGTAATTGGAAAAAAAAAATTTTTTAGTTCATGCAACCAAAATTATACAAAATTATACCCTGGATCAAGCAAATGCAATAATTTCTATTGTACTCTATGAATTGCTAAAAGCATGATATACGCGTAATAAGTAGTAAAACACGGTACATAAATCCAATGGAATGAAAAAAAGCCGAATCACTGCTGACCTTATTCGCTTTCTGGAGGTTAAACTGAGCTCAGCCATATCTTCAAAATCAAATCCATTATAGCAGCTATAAACATCGGGAGGGAAAAAAAGCCCAGCACGCAAGATAAAGAAGCCCAAGAGAAAGGTAGAAAAAAAATTAATCAAACCCCCATTCCGGTGACCACGATAAGACCAAAGCCTCGTACCCCTGCCAGACATACGTTGCCGACACTGGGGGGAAAGGGAGGAAGTAAAAGATACATCAAGCTACAGTTATCGTTACATTACAAAAGAGAGAAACTAGCGTCTAACTCGTCATGCGGAGCTGACGCAATAAAAGGGACTGCGGCAAGTATCAGGAGACACCAGTGCGTGAGAAACGGAAATCGTCTTTGCCGTCTGGGTCTGCAAAGAAACTAAACGTCTGCTGTACGGAACATATATACCTTCCTCTACCTCCCCTTTCCACACACTGTACACGTGCTCTCCCACAATAACCGACTGAACTGAATTTTTCTTTTTTTTTTTTTCTCGACTCGCCACGGTAATGACGCGCTTATAAACGAGCCAAGAGATTATTTAATAATCAGCCGCCCGTCTCTTTGCTCGTAATTAACGCAGCTACAGAGAGCATTTCCCCCCCGAGTCATAGACCCAGAACGTTTATTAATACATGCAAAGTGTAACGTCTTACTCCCCGATGCAAGGATGTTTCTGTATCTGCAAAACATTGTCGTTTGCATAATACCTTCCGCTTATCAAGATCCCAAAGTTATGTAACTGTTGCAGTTGCCGGTCGCGATAAATTGCAACGTATACATGTAAGCGTTTGCATCCGCAGTGGGGAGCATCGGTGGACACGGAGCGTAACGTACGGCGGTGAAATAATAAAAGGTTCGCGGTCCGCGGCGAAAATGCAATGCGAGCAATGTGGGGTGTAAGTACGCCCGACAAATGGCGAACGAGCAAAAATTGGACGCGAATGAAAAAAAATAAAAATAAAATAGGGGGAAATTTTACTATTTTTCGAGACTGGCAATGCGAGCTTGGAGGCGAATATTACAACAGAGGCCGCGGCTTTTTCTCGTAAATTTGGCTCCTCCGTGCACACGTATATGTATATATATATACCTTTACGCTGAATATCTAACGAGGCCAGACCGCGCGAGCGAGCGTGTTTTCGTAATTCGTTGAATTATTCCGATCGCGTTTCGCGCGTTTAAGGGAAAACTAGTTTAACGCCTCAAACTTGAGCTTTTGCGCTCCGCACGTTTCGTTGTATGTTATATAGCTGGGAGCTCGAGGCCGTACTCGGGAAAAGAAAAAAAATTCGACTCTTCCATTTTCACTTCGACCTTCTGTCTCTACCATCGTTGTATGGGCACTTTCTTACTTGGCTTCTTCTACTATAGCCTCTTGATTTGCAAAGTGCATTTTCGTTACGAAGCTACGTCGCTCCCAAGTCCTGGTGGAAAAAGGAAATTCACCCATATTTTTTTTTTCTACTTTCCTTTTTTCTTTTTTCTCCTTCTTTGTCTTCTTTTTTCTCTTTTTTAGGGGGTCGTTATCCCAAGAGAAAGTAGAAAGTTTTTAGCCGAGCGCAGGTAAAAATTCCGTTCCCTGCACGGGTTTTTTTTTTTGCCCCCCCTCCCTCTTTTCCTTTTTTTTCTTTGACTTTTCGACTTTAGCCCCACATGATTCGTATTTTGGTTTACGATTGCTGGCATTCGTCTCGAAGAATCCCTACGGGGAGAACAGCAGCAAGGTGTATATAACGGTCGTAAAAAAAAAAAAAAAAAAAAAGAAGCGAGTCCTGCTTAGCCCAATTTTCCGTAGGTATTCATCCCCAGGAAACACCCGCATTCCATTGTCTGATGTAAAAAGTCAGACCACCCCCTCCCCCCATTCGGATGAAATTTCATTTTATAAGCACTAAAAGTACCAAAGTCTTTTTTTATGTTTCACGGAAACAAGTGAATTTTTTATTTATGCACGCGTGTTATTAAAATTTTTTATTATTCCTCATAAATTTCATTTATGCGCCATCTGAAATTTTAATCGTCCCTGGCATGAGCGATTAATTGAATTGATAAAATGAAATTTAAATAACATCAAAACTAAAATGTACAGGTCTTTGAGCTCTCCCCGTCATTACAACATTATTTGCATACAATTATTTATCATTTTTTTTTTTTCATATATTAAAATTACATTTATAATTATGGATACCAATGGTACGTTTCAAGTAGTTACGCCACGCGAAGCTAATCTGTAACATTTAAAAAACCATCTTACGAGCGAGCACTCGCGTGGCGTAAAAACACCACCTGCTCAGTTCCTCAATAAAGGTAAAAGGATGCTAGGTCATCATTAAAGCGCATTTCATTTCTCATATCCACACGCGAACGTTTATTAATGCAATAAACACGTCAGCACCCACGTACGTACCTTTCATTTAGCAGAAAAAAAAAAAACAAAAAAACTTATTTATATTTTTTTTCTCATATATGCGCACGCAGCGCTCCGTTGTAATATACGACGTCCAAGAGGACTCAATTAGGCTGTAAAATGAACGAAGATAATTCCAGCTGTATTTCAACGACACGCGCGTGCGAGCCTTTTCGTCGAGTCCTTGGATCTCCAAGAGACGCGTCGGTCGGAAGTACACTCTGGTATATAACATTGTGCTCGTTTCCAGATGTTTTCTCAAAACTAACGACGATCCCCATTCTCAGCAACACTAGCCGAAAGCCCCTTGCCATGTATGTATAGGCAGTATCGAGAAATGGAGTCTATAGGCCACCTCCGCTCCGCTCCACGGATTCACCGGCACCTGAAACACCAAAAAAAAATCAGTGCTTGTAAAAAGTTTTATTACGCGTTGACGCGAAATGGCCCCTCCGCGTTTGTACGCCCACGCACAGGGGGAGATAGGAAGCGAACGGAAACGCCGATGTTTCTTCAAGTGTGATTCCTCGCGCCTTGAAAATCCGCTCCTCCCCGGTGTAATTTACGCAACGCACATCCTTCCCCCCGGCTTTGCTGCCAATTAATTCCGAAAGATCCTTCTTTCGAGAGCCGTATAGAGACGTCGCGTTTTCGGGCTCTGGCGTGAGTAACGGCGCGCAAGTGCGATCGGGAGCAAAGGCGATCGGCTCAAGGCTATCTGGAAAGAGCGGCGAGGTAGAGAAAAATAAAAAAACAACACCGCGTTATTTTCGTCCCGCCTGATTCATCTTTCTCTCCGTTCGATAAATCCCGCGACTCGAGCCAGAAATTTAAGACATCCTGATTGTAAATTGTGGAAAGCTCCCTGGCTCTTGTGCACTATCAAAACCCTTTAACGAAATCTGTTCGATCTTATTGTATTGACCTTTGGTGCATAAGAAAAACTAAAACTTTCCTAGCCCGAACCGATTGATCAAACTATTTAATCAGAGCTGCAACATATTACAAAGTAATTAATAATTCACGAAACACTTCCGCGAAACTCGCTCTATCGATAAATGTATAGCGCAGCGCGTAATTGGATAAACGCACGGTACATCACGTCGTTCGGAATAATACAAACGGCAATAGTAGCAACAGAGTCGGTACAACAGCACTAAAACACGGCGTATGTCGGCGTGGTATGAAATTTCATCGCTCCGCGGGCTTCGGTGGCGCAGGAGCTAGTGATCGAGCCGGCGGTAACAACTGTTCGTAAATAGAAGAGCAAACGATCGCTGAAGGCGGATATTATTCAATGAAGCTCACGTGGACGCGCTCGTGTGGAGGGAAACGAATGGACACGCCATAGGTACAGCTTTCGCGTGGAACGCGCTCTTAACGAGACGACTGGTGCAGGGAGACCTGTCTGTTACATCTGCTGTGCGACGTGTGTGCGTGTAACGAGAGAGTAATGCTCGATTTTCCGATTACGGGCGAAATGGTTGGGGTTTTATTGATGACCGGTCATCGTTTTCTCGCCGAAAGCCACGCGATGGATGGACTGTAGTGCGGCACAGCGCGCCCCGAGTTCCCTCTCTTTTGCGAGCCGACGGATGAATAGGCTTGTTGGCCTGCTTGCCGTCGCTCCGTGTTTGTTAGGGGCTTCGTTAACGAGTTCCAGTGCCACGTAGGTGATTCTTTTTTTTATTCTTTCGGTTTTTTAATGATAGATTACAAATTTTTTTTTTTCGATTTTTCGTTGGGGATTGATGAATGGCTGGTAGTTTTCTTTTCATTGATTGAGTGAGAAATTAATTACAAATACAATGTTGTTTTATACCTTATGGACATTTTCCATTACTTTTGAAAAAATACGACTTTCGGCGTTCGATCGTGCAGCTCAGATGGTAGAAAAACTCGGCAGTAATCAATACTAGGTTTCGAGTCTCGTCCAATTTTCATGTAGTATGTGCATGACAACAGTAATGTGTCAAAGGATATTCCCAAAATTTTTCCCATA